TTCCCAAAGTGCTGGGATTACAGGGTTGAGCCACTGCGCCTGCCTAGTTTTGAGAATTCTTTATACATTTTGAACATATAAATCCTTCGACAGCTACAAGACTTGCAAATATTTTCTCCTAATCTGTGCTTTTTCATTCTCTTCACGGTGTCTCTTAAAGAGAAAATTTTACGTTTTAATATATTCTAATTCATAAGTTTGTCTTTCACGGATGTTTTTGGCACTGTCTCAGAAATCATTCGCTGATTTAAATCACAAAGTTTGTTTTCTCCTGGAAGTTTTTGTTTTGGGTTTACATTTGTGTAAGGCCCCCTTTTTCTGCAGATGGATGTCGGGTCCGGGTGTCTGCTGAAGAGCAGCCTTTCCTCATGGCCCTCCCTCACACCTGCACGTGTGTGAGTCTGTCTGCAGCCTCTTCTCTCCCTCCTCATGGCCCTCCCTCACACCTGCACGTGTGTGAGTCTGTCTGCAGCCTCTTCTCTCCCTCCTCATGGCCCTCCTTCACACCTGCACGTGTGTGAGTCTGTCTGCAGCCTCTTCTCTCCCTCCTCATGGCCCTCCCTCACACCTGCACGTGTGTGAGTCTGTCTGCAGCCTCTTCTCTCCCTCCTCATGGCCCTCCCTCACACCTGCACGTGTGTGAGTCTGTCTGCAGCCTCTTCTCTCCCTCCTCATGGCCCTCCCTCACACCTGCACGTGTGTGAGTCTGTCTGCAGCCTCTTCTCTCCCTCCTCATGGCCCTCCCTCACACCTGCACGTGTGTGAGTCTGTCTGCAGCCTCTTCTCTCCCTCCTCATGGCCCTCCTTCACACCTGCACGTGTGTGAGTCTGTCTGCAGCCTCTTCTCTCCCTCCTCATGGCCCTCCCTCACACCTGCACGTGTGTGAGTCTGTCTGCAGCCTCTTCTCTCCCTCCTCATGGCCCTCCTTCACACCTGCACGTGTGTGAGTCTGTCTGCAGCCTCTTCTCTCCCTCCTCATGGCCCTCCTTCACACCTGCACGTGTGTGAGTCTGTCTGCAGCCTCTTCTCTCCCTCCTCATGGCCCTCCCTCACACCTGCACGTGTGTGAGTCTGTCTGCAGCCTCTTCTCTCCCTCCTCATGGCCCTCCCTCACACCTGCACTTGTGTGAGTCTGTCTGCAGCCTCTTCTCTCCCTCCTCATGGCCCTCCCTCACACCTGCACGTGTGTGAGTCTGTCTGCAGCCTCTTCTCTCCCTCCTCATGGCCCTCCCTCACACCTGCACGTGTGTGAGTCTGTCTGCAGCCTCTTCTCTCCCTCCTCATGGCCCTCCCTCACACCTGCACGTGTGTGAGTCTGTCTGCAGCCTCTTCTCTCCCTCCTCATGGCCCTCCCTCACACCTGCACGTGTGTGAGTCTGTCTGCAGCCTCTTCTCTACCTCCTCATGGCCCTCCCTCACACCTGCACGTGTGTGAGTCTGTCTGCAGCCTCTTCTCTCCCTCCTCATGGCCCTCCCTCACACCTGCACGTGTGTGAGTCTGTCTGCAGCCTCTTCTCTCCCTCCTCATGGCCCTCCCTCACACCTGCACGTGTGTGAGTCTGTCTGCAGCCTCTTCTCTCCCTCCTCATGGCCCTCCCTCACAGCTGCACGTGTGTGAGTCTGTCTGCAGCCTCTTCTCTCCCTCCTCATGGCCCTCCTTCACACCTGCACGTGTGTGAGTCTGTCTGCAGCCTCTTCTCTCCCTCCTCATGGCCCTCCTTCACACCTGCACGTGTGTGAGTCTGTCTGCAGCCTCTTCTCTCCCTCCTCATGGCCCTCCTTCACACCTGCACGTGTGTGAGTCTGTCTGCAGCCTCTTCTCTCCCTCCTCATGGCCCTCCTTCACACCTGCACGTGTGTGAGTCTGTCTGCAGCCTCTTCTCTCCCTCCTCATGGCCCTCCTTCACACCTGCATGTGTGTGAGTCTGTCTGCAGCCTCTTCTCTCCCTCCTCATGGCCCTCCCTCACACCTGCACGTGTGTGAGTCTGTCTGCAGCCTCTTCTCTCCCTCCTCATGGCCCTCCCTCACACCTGCACGTGTGTGAGTCTGTCTGCAGCCTCTTCTCTCCCTCCTCATGGCCCTCCCTCACACCTGCACGTGTGTGAGTCTGTCTGCAGCCTCTTCTCTCCCTCCTCATGGCCCTCCTTCACACCTGCACGTGTGTGAGTCTGTCTGCAGCCTCTTCTCTCCCTCCTCATGGCCCTCCCTCACACCTGCACGTGTGTGAGTCTGTCTGCAGCCTCTTCTCTCCCTCCTCATGGCCCTCCCTCACACCTGCACGTGTGTGAGTCTGTCTGCAGCCTCTTCTCTCCCACTCACCTGTACTACTCTCCCTTCAGCTGTCCCACAGTGTCATGACCCTTCTGTTTGGGAAGTCTCCAAATCAGGTACTGCCAGTCTTCCAATTTTTTTATTTTCAAAGTTATTTTAATTACTCTAGTTCTTTCTATATAACTTTCAGAAGCAACTTTTTTTTTTTTTTTTTTGAGACGGAGTCTCACTCTATTGCTCAGGCTGGAGCGAAGTGGTGTGATCTCAGCACTGCAACCTCTGCCTCCCGGGTTCAAGGATTCCCCCACCACAGCCTCCTGAGTAGCTGGGACTACAGGTGCCTGCCACCACACCCTGGGAATTTCTGTATTTTTAGTAGAGATGGGGTTTTACCATGTTGGCCAGGCTGATCTTGAACTCCAGACCCCAAGTGATCCATCTACCTCTGCCTCCCAAAGTGCTGGGATTACAGGCATGAGCCACCACGCCCCGCTAACTTTCAGAATCAACTTGATTTTTAAAATAGAAAAATCTGGCCAGGTGTGATGGCTCATGCCTGTAATCCCAGCACTTTGGAAGGCTGAGGAGGCAGGCCGCTTGAGCTCAGGAGTACGAGATCAGCCTGAGCAACATGGTGAAACCCCATTTCCACAAAACTACAAAAATTAGCTGCATGTGGTGGCATGTGCCTGTGGTTCCTGCTACTGGGAGGCTACTGTGGGGGGATTACTTAATCCCAGGAGGTCAAGGCTGTAATGAGCCAAGATCATGACACTACACTCCAGCCTGGTGACAGAGCAAGACAATGTCTTTAAAAAAAAAAAAGAAAAGAAAAGCTATGGGTGGTCAGGTTGTATGAAGTTCCCACACCTTACACTGGATGGACCTGACTTCCAATTTCCTCACCACAAACAACCGGACTAAGGATTGGGAGCAAATCAAAGCCCATTGTGCTATGACCACACTCGAAGACTCCTCTGTGCACAGCACCTTCTTAGGGCACAGTCCCCACCGGCATCTGAGGAGGCCTGACACTGCAATGCAGGGAATGAAGGTGTGGAGGTTGCTGGCGCTTGTGGTGGCAGTGACGGAGTCTCGGCACCCATGGAGTTCCTGGGTCCCATGTTGTGCAGCCCTGACACAGCCCAGGGAAAGACCACAGGGGCCCTCCAAGTGCCCTGGAACCCAGCAGTGGTCCCAGTGACCCTGGGTGTTTGCTGACATTTTCCTTCACTGGGACCACTGCTGGGTTCCAGGGCACTTGGAGGGCCCCTGTGGTCTTTCCCTGGGCTGTGTCAGGGCTGCACAACATGGGACCCAGGAACTCCATGGGTGCCGAGACTCCGTCACTGCCACCACAAGCGCCAGCAACCTCCACACCTCGGCAGCTGAGGATTTTCCTTACATTTTTAAAAGAAAAATGCATAGCGTGGCAACTGCCTATCTCAACAGTCTCCCCAAACAAAGGGGAGGCTTGTCCCTTTAGTGGAAAAAGGGTTGAAAGTATTTTGGTGTCGCTACACTCTTCGAAACATTAGTGAGCTGCACAAATGAGTCATGCCAGATGCTCACACGGGTTTTGTCCGGAGAGCACTCTCCAACGACGCTGAAGCCGACTCCACGAGCATCGGCACTTGACACACAGGTGGTTCAGGGACAGTGTCCCCCGGCCAGGGTTTGTAACAGAGCCCTGACTGGGAGCTGAGCACTGCCAGCCAGGACATATTTCCCAGCCTCTCTGGCATTCAGGTGGGACCAAGAAACTAAATCTGGCCAACAAAAGAGACGTGAAGTGTCTAGAGGCTGCGTTCAGGAATGTTCCTTAAGAGGGAGATTTAGAGCCTCCCTTTCTTCCCCCTGCAGCCTGCTGCCCAGGATGAACACGTGAGGACTGGCATCCTGCCTGCCACCTTCGGCCAGGAGCAGGGGCCACATCCTACGGATGTCACAGAGTAGCCAGAGGGGGCCTGTAACCCTGAGGGCTCCCTCAGGTTCTGATGGGGCACAGCGACCAGGGAGTGGGGCGGCCTCCCGCTTGCCCTGCTATGAGAGGGAAATGGGCTTCCGGCCATCTCGTTCCTGGTCACCGTGAGTCTCGAACCCAGAAACACAACATTGCTCAACTCTCCTGAGTCTTCATGGTACCCAACTTTGGTGACCAGCTCCCAGCACCTGAGTGTGTCAGTTCAGGGAGTGTTCCCTGCCCAGACCAAGGAGCTTTCCTCACCAGGTGTTGAGTAAGAGGAGGAGCAGCTCGTCTCTGCGGGCACCAGGCCTCTGCAGGCACCACACACCCATCCAGGTTGTGTGTGTGCTGCTCTGCAGGCTGCCTCACCCAGTTCTGCCCGAGCCCCCTGAGGAATGCACCATTCACACCTGAACTGACAACTCCAAGCCCTGCCCGAGACCCCTGAGGTATGCGCCATTCACACCAGATCTGACAGCCCCAGACCCTGCCGGAGCCCCCTGAGGTATGAACCTTTCACACTGGAACTGACAACCACAGCCCTGCCCAAGCAGTCACCCCTCCCGCCTGTAGAGGCCCCACAGCCAACAACCCCCCCACCCCCGAGGCGGCCCACCCAGGCCTAGGGCCGGCTTCCTATACAGCCCTGGCACAAGACTTTGTACAAGGCACAGCCTTGTCTAGGTAAAGAAAAGAGTATCCACGATAAGTGTTTTCTTCCTACCCTTACAGGAGAGAGGGGAAAAAACTTAGCATCTTACCTCAAAGGAACATTCAACATTTCTGTCATTTTTTGTGTGTGATAATCCCTTCAGGTCTATCTTTTCAACACTCACTGTAAAAGTAAAACAAAAAACAAAAATGAAGTAAGGGCGTGAAGTATATACACAATTATTTAGCATTTGATGTTTCGCATTTTCCAAAGGAGGCTCTCAGCGCCCAGGGCTATCCTGTCACTTCGATGGCGTCTAACCTAGAACCGGGGCCCAGAGAGGAAGGCGGGTGCAGCACAGACGCAGGGCACATTTGCAACAGAAAGGAGATTAAAGCAAAGCCACATGTGGAAATGGAAGCGCAGGAAACAGCGCTAGAGCACAGACACGCGCTTACTGACCGAGCAAAAGCCCAGCTCTAGCCACAACTGAGCATCTGTGCAGCCTCCCCGGGTTAACCCTCAAAACTGTGACCAATCTGTCCCGAGCCAACGCTCAGTATTTTCAGTGGTGACTGTTTTAGACAGTATTTCTCCAAGGACGTGGTCACCTGGGGAGCATCTCCTGTTTATTTTCTTTTTCTTCTTTTTGAGACAGAGTCTTACTCTGTCTCGGTGGCTCGATGCAGCCTCTGCCTCCCAGGTTCAAGCGATTCTCATGCCCCCAAGTAGCTGGGGTTACAGGAGTGCACCACAACGCGCAGCTGATTTTTGTAATTTTAGAAGACACAGGGTTTCTCCATGTTGGCCAGGCTGGTCTCAAACTCCTGACCTCAGGTGATCCACCCATCTCAGGCTCCCAAAGTGCTAGGATCACAGGCGTGAGCCACCGCGCCCGGCCTTTCTTTTCACCAGAATTCACTGTCATCCTTCTCGGCGAGGGCAAGGTTAAGGAGACCAGAACAGCAGTCCTAGGGGAATCAGGGAGATGGAGAGCACTGTCTCGGGGCAGAACCAGGCTGCAGTGACCGAAGCCGCACAGGATGGAGAGAGACAGGGACAAGGGGCATCATCAGGAAGCCCAGAAGCCATCAGTCTACTTACTCATCCCCAGCTTTCCACATAAATTGGTGGGTGTTTTTCTCCTCAAAAATAAGATGATACAATTAGCGTTTAAGCATTGTTTTTAAATAAGCCCAAACATCTGTTCAAAATAAAACAGCTGCGTTATCAAACCCACTGTGGTTTCCGACCCAGCTGCGTCAAGGCAGGCCTGCCCTGCTGATCCAGCGCGGTTTCTCAATGCCCGACACACCTGCTCTGCCAGCTCTCACACTTCGCAGGTGCCCACAGCCACACGCCGTAGCAGCAGCCTTATGCATAACTGGGAGAGACGCTTCAGGCCATTCTCCCACCTTCCTCCACCAGCCTTCACTGGGTCTAGGGGTCACCTGGCTGTGTGCGATGGGGATGTCTGCTCATTTGTAGAATCCGACTCTGTCCAATGTGAAATACGCAACATAATTTTTCAGAACTATGAATGTGACACTTCCTGCAGGCACCCAAAGACCTCCTGCTCTCCTGCACCAACCTTCTCCAGAGCCCTCTCCACAGACACCAGTGCTTCCACAGGATCAGGGCAACCTCAAAAAAAGCTTTTGGGGGCAGCCGGGCACGGTGGCTCATGCCTGTAATCCCAGCACTTTGGAAAGCTGAGGTAGGCGAATCATGAAGTCAGGAGTTCAAGACCAGCCTGGCCAAAATGGTGAAAACCAGTCTCTACTAAAAATACAAAAAAGTAGCTGGGCATGGTGGTGGGCACCTGTAATTCCAGCTACTTGAGAGGCTGAGGCAGCAGAACTGCTTGAACCTGGGAGGTGGAGGTTGCAGTGAGCCAAGATCGCACCATTGCACTCCAGCCTGGGCAAGAGTAACACTCTGTCTCAAAAAAAAAAAAAAAAAGTGTTTGTGAAAACAAAATCTCAGATACTCCTTGTAAACTGTGAATGTACATTAGAATGTTAAGGGCTCTGAGAAGTCCTACAGTGCATAATAATTTTTAAAATGATTCCCCACATTTTTTATCCACACAACTTTCTTCTCCAAACATGAACCTCCCCTAGACTGAGGACCTGCTCTGTGCACACACCTGGGGACAGTTCTAAGCCTGCCGAATCACCCATGACAAGTTAATTAGGATGGAATAAAATTCAACACGCAACCCTCTCCCCCGACCCCAGTTGTCCTGAAGAACCACGCCGAGGGTTCTGAAGCCACAGGAGGCTAGTGGCTGCCACGCTGGGCTGTGCGGACACGGGGCTGAGTGCTCCTGGCCAATGCTGTCTAAACCAATACCTGCCCCTCCATGCGCAGCTCTGTGGGCCCCCACCACGCCCCTCATCTGCACATCCTCTGTGGCCACCCCATGACGGCACAGCTGAGGAGTTGTGTCAGACACCACTCTACTCCCGGAGCCAGAGATATTCACTCTCTGTGTCTCTGCAGAATGAGTCAGCAGGCCCCTGCGCTCGCTCCCCAGCGTGTGCCATGAACAGCCGGCCACACAGGTCACCCCTCCAGGTGCTGTGAGTGTGGTGGGGAACGAGGCAGCGGGTGCTAGCTTCCAGCAGCACCACCTGCTCTGCCAGGGACCCTCAGCCTCTTGGGGATGCGGGAGTCCACTCGGTTTAGAGTTCTGTAAGCTTAAAATAGCACATCACAGGAAGGAATTACTCCAAAAAATACAAATGTTTATTTCCTTTCTGGCAAAACAAGCAGCACAGCACATGTAGAGGCAGCCCAGTCCTGCTGGTGTTCACTAGTTAACCACGCGCTGTTCCTGCCTGACTTCCTCACAGCTTTTATGTTTCTCCAAAGCAGTACTTCTAACACCTCCCCACGATGCCATCACTCGAATCCGTCTCTCCTACTTTTTTAAGCACCATACAATGTCAATCAATACAGAAACATGTAGTCGGCGTTTTCCCTGGCCACAAACACCAATGTGTACCTCCTGGCCCGGGCGGGATGATATTAGGGTCTATGAAAAAAGTACAAAACAAACCCCATCTGGACTGAGAGTAGGAGGTGACTCATTCATGTCTCATATCTGGACAGGAAAAGGGAAAAGCAGATGAATGGTATTCAGCTGTTTTCAAATAAAAGAGGTATTTTCAACTCTAGGCCCAAAATGCTGGCACGTCCCTCTGCAGAATGACCAGCCTGGGCAGTGGCCACCCCAGCCAGAGCAGCCGTGGGCCCAGGAGGAACGCAGCGAGGCTCCCTCTACTTCTATCTAGGACGCCTCTACTACCTTGGACACTCTGTGGTCTGAAGGCTGAGAAGAGCCTGAGAGAGAGGGAAGGCCAGGCACAAGGAGTGAGGGGCCGGGCGAGAGCAGGCGCTGGGTGACAGGCCTGAGTTAGGTCAGGAAGGATTTAAGCACGCTCTCATCTCTGGAGCCATTAGACATCATAATTCTAAAAACCACAACAAGAAAAAGATTGTATAGCGCACTAGGATAAATAGCTTACACATGCCGGGCTTAATACCTAGGTGATGGGTTGACAGGGGCAGCAAACCACCATGGCACACATTTACCTAAGTAACAAACCTGCAGAACCTGCACATGTACCCCAGAACCTCAAAGAAAAAAGGCTTAGACATTAACTAGAAAATCACAAATTCTAAGCATAAGACGTTGACAGTCTTGTTTCAAATGGAAATGAAAACACTCAAGCTGAACGATGGAAAGTGATGGGAACAGCTGCGTTCGCTGGCGAAGTGAAAGGGGAGGCTTCCCCACATTCCTGTAATGTGCTTTCACCATCTCAAAGTGAATACCTATCAGCATGCGGGCACCCGTACAACCCACTTCCATCCTGCTCCCAGCGCGGCCGCCTTCCCGCCTTCCGTGGTCAGCCCCACTGCCTTCAGTGGAGCGTAATCAAAGGCCTAGATAAATTCAGGGGCAAACATCACCCCATCACCTGAGAGGAGAGAGCAGAGCCAGAGGGACTATGAAGACAGAATCCGCACTGGCCACTTTCCTCCGTGAGGAAACTGTCCGGCATGTGTGGCAATGCGGCCACAGCACATGGCAGCCGAGGCCATGAGGGGGCTCTCCTGGAGCGCAGAGGCCAGTCAGTGCTGCGCCGCGCCCAGGCAGGCCTGTACAGGGACAAACAGGGTGGGACAGAGAGACCCGAGGCGGGGCCAGACCTGCGCCCTCCTTCTGAAATGAGAACACAAAGGATGACATACCTTTCCCTTTGGAATGTTTGTCTGTTCAAACCTTTCTTCTTTTGTCATTCCAGGTACGCAACAGGCATCTCCTTCAAATATTACAAGTTAGATCACATAGCCTTTGATAAAGTGTATAATCGCACAGACTATCATTTATAATTGAATCAATACCTACACTTAGAAACCAGCACCCTAATGCAAACTGAAAAAGCGGGGACACTGCAGTGAGAAGGTGATATCAGAAATCAGGCTTCCATTTGGCGAGACTGCACCGCACCGCGGCGTTTCCACCCCAAAGTGCAGTTTCTGGTTTTCTCCTTTTACACTTCAAAACCTGTACAATCAAATGCCAACGGCATCTCACCCCTGCTGCTGCCCGGGTGGCAGGAATAACAAGGCTGTGACGGCCTGCAACCTATGGAGGCAATGAGGAAAGAGCTGGCAACCCACCCACAAAGCAGGTACAGCACATTTCCTTTTTCAGATACAGAGAAAGTCTTCCAACCAGCAGCATCTCACAGTTAATGACACATGGGAAGGAGACTAAATGATGCCTCCCAAGTGCTGAGCTCGAATATTCATTAACTATGGTCAATTTTGCATCTGCTTCCTCATTTGTTTAATGGGGATAGTAGCTTAAAAGGGCCAATAGTTTGTGACCAAATATGAATACAAATATGAATAAGAAAAGGAAATGGCCCCACTAAGTATAAACATACAAAATCCCCAAGAAATGAAGGGCCGTGCCCAGGACCACCGTCAGCACTGTCCCGGTCTTCTTCCCGCTAGTGAGGAACAGCAAAGGGCCCTACAGTGGAGTCCCTGAAATGCGACGGATTTATCTCCAAGGAGCCGATGGCTCCAGAGCCTAAGTGTCCTGCCTCACCTTTGTCACTAACGAGTAAATTATATTATTTAGTTAAGATGTATTTCTGGTT